AATAAATGCGCGTTTTTATTTAATTATATATGAAAATTTTTTTTACTGAATTCAATACATAACAATTTTTTATAAGCTTTATCTTACCAATATACGCTCAGGTGCAACGGAAATATCAACTTATTATGTATCTACACTTAGAAGAAATATATTTTTCTAAAAATACATTTACAGTTAAAATAAATTAGATAAAAAGCACATGTCTTAGTCAATTTTTTAGGCTGTACTGCTGTAGTGTATCCGCTTTAAAAATATGTTGAAATATTTCGGTAAACAAGTATGTTTACGAATCACATAATGGAACAAAGAAACCGTAATGGGTTAAAAAATCTTTGTCTAATCCCGACCGATATCTTAAATATAGTGTTGCCTGTTACAAAATTCTGAAGTTAAAAGCAGTTCAGGTTACATATCTGACCACGAATTTGAATATAATTTTTTCATTTGTAACTGATGGGAAGTCTTAAAACAACAATTTACATTTTTGCATAAACAATTAACTATTTGTTCATGTGCCATCACTTTATACGAATTTTAAACCTAAGCAGTTTTTAGTACAGAGCATTCAGATCTTTTTGAAAAAAGTGAAGTATGAAAAAAAAAAATTTACGTGAGTAATGATAAAATTTAAGATATAGATGTATATTACAGAAACGTAGAGCAACAAAATTTACAGTTTAATTTTCCTTCCCCACGCATAAATCGAAAATATAAGCTGTAGTAAAAGAACTAATTTTTGTAATACTGAAATATTTTCTTTAATTCTTAGAGCATGAAACAAGTCCTTGAAAAATATTTTTAAAAAAGCTTAAAACTACAATTGGCCAAAACCAATTTTTTGTGTTTATTATCTTTCAGACCATCATTATTGCAATTAAAATAAGTGTACAATACAAAAAAAAATTTATTTCAAGGGAATCCACATTTTGTTTACCATGCACTCACCTTTAATGGAAACTATAAAGTATAATAAAAGAACTGATTATTTTTATATTTTGCGATGTTTTCTTAATTTTTTTTAAGTATATAAATGGTTTGGGAAAAATAAATGAAAACATTTAAAAAATATAATTGACCTAAAATATCCACTTGAATAGTTATACATAAGGTTCTGATTTTCATTTTCTAAGAGTTATTGTTAACATTTTTACTGTTAAAGTTCCCTTCGTCCAAATTTTCTGAATTTAAAACTGTCTGATTGTCGTATGAAAATGAAGCGATAATTAAAATTTGAGTACAGTCGGATGTCATGTTTTCGAAACAGTTGATTTACATATCTTCATAAGTGGTGGTTACACTTTTTGCTCTGAAAAAAATATAGGGTACTTATGTAAAGCAATTGTGGCAAAAAAAAAGAAGTTTTAACAAAAATTTATAATTGAAGTTAGATTCTAAGAGGAATTGTATGCTTTTATCTTTTTCCACCGTAGTCGTCTCGAGTAATGGCAACTCCTTTGTTCAACATAAACTAATTCACCAGAAGTTTTTGCCTTTGTATTGCAGTTCGATTTTCAGATAACAAGTGCCAAGTTGTGACACTTCAATTGGTTTTAGAATGCGGTAACTTTGGATTTTTTACCTTGGTTAAATCGATTTTCTCCTTCAGTTACCTTTATCTACGACTTGCAATTTTTTAATAAATAAAAAACATGTGCAACAGCTTTCTCCACTGTGAAAAATGGTTTTTGATATGTTTTTGCGATTTTTTTCATGCAAAAAACCATAAAAATAAAAAAATAACTTTGAAAACAGACCAAATCCTATAACAAAGAAAAAAAATTATTAATCTTTTTATAGCTAATAATTAACAAAAATTGGTATCATCAAATGAAACAAAATGATAACACATCTTAGTACCTTGTTTGTTTATAACTTCTTCTATCCTTATTTTATTTTTTTTTTTCTTTTATTACTTTCCTCAATAAGCCATCACATTTAACGAGAACTCTGTTGACTTGAATAAATGTCAAATCATTAAGTTAAATACCATCTTTCCTTAACCAGCGAAAAAAAAATATTTCAACTATCCATATAGCAGATAAGATTTTATAATTTTTAAGCAAACAAATTAAAAAAGTATTACTCCCGCTTTTTATGGTAAAAAACACATGCTCAAATATATGTATATTTTACAACTATGTTATCTGTGCTTTAATATCGACTCTATTTAGTGTTAAAATCACATTCCATACATCGGTTAAAATTGCTATTTTTTTCGATGCTTTAATATTGAATGCGTTGAAAAAAATTTTCTATGAAATTAAACTTAGTGACAAATTTTTGCGGTAGGTCTGTTTAAATTATTAATTACATATGTTGTAGTGTTGCTTGTGAAATAATGATTTTTATTGCTGCAATGAATTTCATAAATGTGTAGAAATTTGAGTGAGACAATTGGATTTACCATGTATAATACTGAAACCTTTTTTTTTTTTTTGTTATACCTCTGACAATATAGTTAAGAAAGATGAAACTTACTGGAGCTTCATTGAGAAGGGAATTGTAAATTTCTTCTCTTCTACCTTAGTTCATTCATTTAATTCTAACCAAAATTGAAGTGTCCAACATCAAGACAAATTATTCGCTTCCCTTCGAGAATAGACCATGAGGTGTATTTATTCTATAGGCACGATTTCGTAAGCCTCACTTGAATACATGGTTTTCTTACTGCAATATTTCTCATTCATATTCATTTTTAAAATGCGGTGGAAACACAGTTAGGCTTAAAAACACAATTTTGTAGTAAAAAATATTTAAACACTTTTAAACAGTAGAATCGGTTATAGGAAAGGTGGATAGTGAACTTCAAAAACAATACATCGTAACTATTATCTATGAATTGACAACATAAAAAAAATATAATCGTTCTCAGAATAATTGTTGTACTTGCCGAAGTTCAACTGAAGTCCATGTTATACTTACCATAGATTCGTGTATTAATAAGACGATATGCAATACCTACCAGGGATTCGAAGCAGCGGCTTTTTTAGGCAGTCATATGTACCTCATTCTGCAGGTCTTTCTTAATAAAATGTATCAGGTGGTGTCTCCTTATTTGTAAAAATGTTTAAATGTCTCAAAAGATAACATATTTGTTTGCCTGGCAAATAACGAAAAAAAAAAAAAAAAAAAAAAATACTGAGCTATACTGATGTAGACGCACCAAAGGTTTTCGCTATTTTTAGTTTAATGAAAAATAGTAGTACAGATGTGCCATAGCCCCCGAAGCTTTTTTGCGGCCCGAGGATCCTGCGAAGTGCTTCGGGCGTTTTTGGCGATCAGGTGTGCCCTCGGTATAGGAAAAACAGTGTTCGGGCACACGAGTGCCATTCATCCGGGGCTACCTTACGGTCTCTCGGCCGCAAATAACTTCGGAGACAATGGCACTTCTGTGACGAAAACTACCATTGCTTTTTCTATATTTTCAAGCAGTTTTCAAGGATTATATTAACTGTTAATTACGTTACAAATAAAACTTAAACCAGCCCCTCCATTTCTGCAGCATACCAGAAGTTGTAGGCAAAAAAGTAACAACTCAGATTTTTGCTTAAAAAAATTCTACTTAATTCGGAGACAATTTTTATAGTGGCAACGAAGTGCGCTCTCAAGAATAAGACAATTTAATATCAATGCAGCAGTGACGTCGTAAGACGTGGTACTCTTTAATTTTATTGAATTCTAAACTGGTCCTTCCTTGCCTACAATTGACGGTATGAATTGACTATTATGAACACATTAAAAAGATTACTTTAAAAAAAAGTACTGAAACTATGAAATTCTTTTCATCATAAAACACACTTTACCCTCTTTTGGCATATTATCTCGAAATGGTTTTTTTTATTTTTTATTTTTTACGATGGTTCCAAAGAGTTTAACTTTTTACGAGACAGCGTACGTTTAAAGTGTACAAAATATATTTAATTTTAATCATAAAAAGAAGCAATGATCGCTTGTGGAAGTTGTGGATATATTTTACAACTGGTTTATAAGTTGTTACAATGAAAACACTAGCTATTGCATGACAAAAGTTATTTACTATATTATCAAAAAACTTGTTTACCTTCCGAATTAATAAAGCTTTAGATCTGAAACTTAAAAAAATTATTCAATCCCTTGTGAAAGTAATTATTCTACTGTTTAAATATACTTGTATTCATGTTATGGTTTTTATAAATTACATACAAACAATTGTAACTACAAAGAAGGAATAAATTACTTATCGAAGAAAAAATTATTTCATTAAAAATAATTCCATTTAGAAAATCTTACTAATCAAATAATTACAGTCTTATAATATTAGGAGGTTAAGATAAAATAACTGACAAATAAACAAAATTTTTAAAAAAGGGGGGCAAGGCAATGGAGTCAAAAAAATGATTGTACACACACNAAAAAAAAAAAAAAAAACTCCCGGTCCTCCCCCTTTTATTTTAATGGTTGCGGTGTGCGGAGGGATGTAAATCGAGAGCCTCATTTTCGAACGCGCAGACGGCGGCTGCGGCTTCGCAGGTAATGCACGAGGCGTCGGCCGATGTTAACCGCGATCGGGGCAGAAGAGAGCAGTAAAAAAAACTCTACCCGAAGAAAAATAAAACCTGCAAGAGGAGGAAGAATCCCGACGAGCCCGAGTGGCCCGAGTACAGTCCATCACATTATACTGAGCGCCAAAGGGGCGCATGTGTGTATATAATATGTACACTTCAAGCTGCCGGCGAGCGTCTTTCTTGCGAGCGGCGATGCTATCGCGAGCCAAGTGTAGGTATATGTGCCGAAAGTGACGACGCGGATTTTAATATACCGAGAATCGCCACTCTGGAGCGCACATGGGGCAGCTGATGCCACATTGCGGGCGCTGATGGACAAAAAGCTTCGGCCCACCGATCGGTGCGCGTGGAGCGTGACAAAAATTCGAAATTCACTCTTGTTCGTCGGTGTCACCCCATATTATTTACAAATAACATTAGATTTCAAATAGAATTTATACAACTATTTCGTAGACACTAAAGTTGGATTTTTAAAAATCAGATACGCGACCCTTTCTCTCCCAGTCACCATACCTCGTTGGCTCTGGACCTCTGGGTCCACCTAGTTCTCCAGTATCTGGATTAATGTTGTCTGGGAATGGTTCCAGAGGTTCTTTTTCTTGGTAAGGATGCTGGCCCTCTTCATGCTCTTCTAAGCTCTCTGTGATAAGAAATATTCGTGAAATACTTAAGTAATATTCAAGTAATCGTAGTAACAAATTACTAGTAATGCAAAATGCTTCATATGATGCAATGGTTGAATTATAAATGTTTTAAATATTGTTTACTGGTACAAAGTTTGTTTTGTGTTTCATCAGAAAAATATTGAGTTTAATTCTAGGATGATCAAGTATTTTCGACGTTTCATGTTAAAGTCCCAAGTAAAAATGATCTTACTCAAAGGCTCGCGATACGATAAGGAATAATAACAGATAATAAGAATTGAAAATGTCTGATTTAAGACTGAAAATAAAATTTAACAATTGTTATTATGAGATATTATCAGCAGTTATTTTTTTTTGTCTTGAATGACATTTTTGAAAGTAAAAAAAAAAATTTAATAATAACAAAATTTTCTGATAACTAGTAATCATTTAAAAAAATTGTAAATGATTGTCAATAAAAATTATCAATTGATGTTATGACGGAATCAAACCATATTTTTCAATTGAGATAAGATTTCACAATTAAAAAAAAATATAACTAATGATAACTAAGTATTGATAAAATTAATAATAATTAAATGAATAAGATTATATGTGCTAAGAATGTTAGATGTTATACCTAGGGGATCTCTAGTATTACTACAGTCATGAAAAATAACTCTGCTATGAAAAAATTATTGCATTTGAGTCTACCACATTTTTGTAACTACTTCTGGTTACACTTTAATTTAAGAGCTGAAATGCCGAAAAATACACTCTTACAGCTTTTTAGTCATAGTACCGAGTAAATCTATGTAGAACCGAATCTTGATCTTAACTGTAAATAAATTTAAGGATGAAAGTATTGTTTACTCCAAGAAACTGTCCTCAGAGCAAAAGATATTTAATAAAATATTATGAAAATTATAAGAGTTCATGTACAACCATAAATCTTTAAGACCTAATTTCTTGAAATCTATAAGAATAGGCTTTTTGAAATTTGAAATGTTATAAAATTTGTGTTTGTATTATTTAAATTAATATCTTGGGTACACAAAAAATATTTTCTACTGATAAAGAAGATTACACACTAAACTGTGTAAGGTTCAAAATATTTAATTGTATACGTGTATATACACACCCTACAGAATAAAATCAAAGCTTGCTATGAAACATACAACTTTTAAAATTATCTCACCTCCAAAAGTATTATTGTTTTTCAATTATTTGAGTAAAAAATGTAGAAAAAAATTGTTTGCGTATACAAAAATATGTTTCTTCATTCTTTGGTAGTGAAATCAAATTAAGTATAACTATGGGTAATGATTATTATCAAATCATAAAATCGACTATGACCAAAAATAATATTATCAAGTTAGTATAAGTGCTATGTTGAGGTGATCCTCAATACTATAATCTCACAGTAAAAATTTTATTTCTTACTATCTTGTTTCATATTTTTAACTGCGATTTCGATACAATAGAACTGAAATTACTTGACCAAAACTTTGTCTCAAAATGTGTACATTAACTACAATACATAAACAAATGGATGTTTTTGAAACTCTTTTTTGGGGAATAGAAAAATAAAACAAGGATTAACTATGAAAATAAATGCTTTATTACCTAGTGGTGCTTTAGCTCTGAGCTTTTTTGGCTCCAGAGATTCTACTTTCACAGCTTTTGATATAGTGGCTCCTGAAATGTATTAAAGTATTGTACTTATTTAAAGTAAACTGTAAAGCTTTCTTAATAAAAAAAATACATTATGATTAATAATAAATTACCTATTGGAGGAGTTTCATGAAGTTTTTTCCTGAATTGCTTCAATCTCTCACTTTCCTTTGCCTCACTACCTTCCTCTGTTGTTGAAATACATCTGAACTTACCTAATGGTACATTCGAGTATCAACGATGAATAAAAAATTTATTTAAATTAATTTTCAACAATGTTAATAAACGCCATGGTATACCTTTCCCAGCATTTCTGCACACAGATAAAGTTGTTCTCAACATTTTCAGCAAAAAAGTTACGTTACAATTTATCTAAAAATAAAAATATGAGGTTATGTAATAAATGTCTACAAAATAACTACAATGTAAGCATTATTTTTTTAAATAAAAGAATTCTATCGTTATTTATAGTGACAGCTATTATATCCAAATCTCACTAATTGACGCAATTCACCAAAAACTAAGTAAAACAAAAAGAAAACTTTCAACATCGTAGGACTTACCTAGCAATTTTTTAAAACAATAGCTATACGTACCTATTAATACTTCAAAGTAATACTTCAAGAAAATTTATTCATATACTTTTATTCATAGTTGATTAGTGAGTGTTTACATAAATGTCACCTGCAGCAACACATTGCAATATCGAAGCGCTGATTGCACTAGCGATCAATTTGTGAACTAAAAAGTTACTGAAAAGGTATCATAAGGGTGTTTTCCGCAATCGTCACCAGCAAGTAATTTAAGGTTGCGCTCTACGTTACCATTAAGTCGGTAAGTCAACTACCTTGAATTAAACTGGCGCTCTGTTCCGTAATCTGGCCAGTTAAAATAGCAGACGACAGTCAGCAGCAATGAAATCTTCACTTTTTTCTCGACTTTCACGTCGTCTGCTGTTTTAACTGGCCAGATTACAGAACAGAGCGCCAGTTTAATTCAAGGTAGTTGACTTACCGACCTGATGGTAACGTAGAGCGCAAATTTAAATTACTTGCTGGTGACGACGATTGCGGAAAACACCCCAAGCGGCGTTACCACCACGACCTACGTAACTTTACAGCCTCTGATTTTATCATTCTGGTAAAGAGAGCACGGTGTAAGATGTACGTGAAGTTATGTGTAGTAATTAAAGTAATTACTACTAAGTAATGCCATATGGTCGATTTCATGAAACCATATGAATATCTATATTTTTGGAGGTAGACTTTTGGGTAGAAAATAAATTGTAAACTTGCCGCAAGTAGCACAAACAACGTTAACTTTTCTTTTTTATATCTATAAAATTAGTTGCGGCTGGTTTATAATTGATAACACGGCTCTACTATAAATAGTAATCATTATTTGGATCAGCGCCATCTAGCGTTGCGGATTTCTGAACTAAAAAGTGGCCCTAAACTTTTGACTCGCAGCATTAGCGCTTAGAGCTATTTAGCCAATTATAAACCAGCCGCAACTCATTTTGTAGCTATAAAATAAAAAAATAACAATATATATGTTTTTGGCGGCAAGTTAACAATCTATTTTTTACCAAATAATTGACCTCCTTTGTATTTATACTTTTGAAGATAAATTTTCGAGTAAAAGATAGATTGTTAAATTGCCGCCAAAAACACATGTATTGTTATTTTTTTATTTTATAGCTTCATCATGAGTTGCGGCTGGTTTATAATTAATTAAATGGCTCTAATCCTGAATACTCTGATTTAGAATTTTAGGAGCCACTTTTGGCCAAAAAATAAAGACCGCTAGATGGCGCTGATCCAAAATAATTATTGAAACTTACAGCAAAGTCACTTCATTAGTTATAAGCCAGCCGCAACGAATCTTATAGATAGATGATAAAAAGTTAACATTTTTTGTGCTACTTGCGGCAAGTTTACAACTTATCTTTTACCTTAAAATCGACCTCCAAAACCATCAATATTCTACTTGTCTTATATGGCTCATAAAATCGACAATATTTACAAAATTTTAATACTCCAGACCTTTTACCATTAACTCATGTAAGCACAAATTAATCAGTCCAAAAGATACAATCGAAGAAAAAAGACCTGAAAAAGATGCACAATCACACGAAAAGTCTCATAAGAATGGAGCATTGGATCTCACTTGATCAGAGAAGGTTGGGTTCTTTGTTTACTTATAACACTTCAAATTTATATCTCTATAATAAATGTATTTTTCAATTTTGTTATGTCCCGGAGCCTATTATTGAAGAGTACTTCACGCAATAGTTCCGAAATAGGGTCCGGGACAGATCAAAGTTCCACTGAGTGTAAGCTGATTTTTCAACCTTATTTTGTTTAGATAATAGTTAAAATTTACCGTACTTATCAAAAAGGATTAGGGTGTTATCTATTAATTCATGGTCTTCTAGATTTATTTTCGTCCCCTCATAGTTTAAAAATTAATCGAATTTCTCAAAAAACTAAACAGCTAAAATGTTTTCGGCCATACAACTTTAGCTACGAAATTAACAAACAAAAGACTACAGATACCATATGCAACTACCATGACACTGATTTGAATAGCAAGCTTGAACCAAATAGCGACAAAAATTAAATAAAATGATATGGGAAGCCCAACAGACGAATTAGTGATTTTTAATATCTGATGGAATATCTGACGGATAGAACACAAGAATAGAAAATACAGTAATTGTATCGAAAAATTTATTTTCAAAATGTTAGAGAATTATTTAGGTCACTATTAACAAAACATACAATTCATATTCACTTAAATGTATATGACTAAAAGTAGCACTTTTTCATTCTTTGCATGTTTCTTAAAGATTATGGAAATCTGGATTAAATCCAGATAATACAGCTGATTGGTTAACTATAAAATGCGCGTGTGATCAATTATCTAGTCGACTATCAACAATAATTCACGGTAATAAACCACATAAGATCAGTACAACTTAAGAAGAATTTACAAAAAATATACCAATCATGTATATTTATATACGAACTTTGCTTCTTTATGTACTAAGTCACACTTTATCGCATCTCTTTATAAATATTCACAGGATTGAAAAGATGATAGCAGTTATTTGTACAAGTATACAATCTCCCAAATATACAATCCTCTTACTTTAAAATCGCAAACTTGACGTGTAAAACCACAACATTCAATAACGAATGAAAAACGAGATTTTTATTTGCTTATAATATCCCGATAAAAACTTTATTACATCAGTCTTTTTGAGTCACTTGAACTCAATAAGTTTGCGATGCGTTTTAATTACAATGATCTGAGTTTGGTTACTTCAAAAAATACTTATATCGAAACATAAAAGTACTAATATAATTTACAAATCACTACAGTGTCTTATTGATGGCAAGGACGTCACGCATCATCATGTTTCTCAGAGTCCATAAGGCATTAACTACATTTCCGTGATTACCAACCCCATTACCCAGCCATTCGGCAGGTAATTTTGTGACGTCGGGAACTTGTGTGTTTTCGGGAGTAGCAATCAATTGTCTGTCCCAATTACTTATATACCTATTTTCAGTGTTTAACCCTTCAATATACCTGAAAAAAATTAAAATTTTCAAACCGTGCATTTATAATTATAACATTTAAAATTCCATTTAAATTGTTTTAATATCTAAAATATTATTTACCTCAAGTACGCATCAGAGTGCAATACGCGACTTGGACGAGGTGGAACTGCAATAAACAACGGTTCTGCCTGTTTCACGGCTCCTACGTTATTTGTTTGCGTAGCAGCTGCTGAAGTTTCTAAAATGAGACACAAAACTCAATTTTTTCGAGACCATAGCAAAAAATTTATTTGGACGGAAATTTGAAAAACATACCTGTTTCCATAGGAGCCAACGTTGTAGATCCTTTTGCAGGCACATAATTTCTGAGAAATATATAAATGCGATTAGACAAAATTATTTTACACAAACATTTAAAATCAAGACAATAGAACAACACTAACTTGCTCCTATCACTGGGTGGGATTGCTCGTCCAGTTGACTTCAGTATGTGTACTTCCTTCACGTGTCTAGCCAGCCTTTGTACACTTGGAAATGGAGGCTGAGATTTTTTCATCCTACCGCAACCTCGCCATTGACATTTGTATTCGACATCTGAAACGACAGTAAATTACTATCTCACGTATCATTCGTCCACATTATTTAAAATTATTCATCAGTGAAGTAATCACCGCTGCTAGCGTTGGCGAAATAAGTTTGAACATGGCCAGTTGGTTCAACAACGCTGTGTTCTATACAATCGGCCATATCTTCGAATTGCCAATCGCACGTATCCCAACAGCACTCATAAACTAAATCCCGCATTGAAATGGCACCTCTCAATCCTTCGTTTTCTTCGTTCAGTTTATTCGCGCGCTCCTCCCACACCGACTTTTCTGCTGGGGCTAATTTGCGCCACTGAAAATAAAATGATTCTTCTAATTCACTAGGACAGTGGGAAAATAGGGTTCAAATAACTTTAGACAATATATATTATGCTGTCGTACTTTAACTTGAAGTTCAAAGTTTCATCTTCAAAATAATTAAAAGTAATCTTTAATATGCAAAAAAAAATAAATGTCTAATATACTATAGAACAAAAATTGACTTTCATATCATCACTGAACAAATTACAGTACATTTACATTGATTCACACAGACTGGTATCTAAATAATAAACAAAATCACGCATAATGCATGTCGATCTACGACAGAAAAAAATAAGAAAAGTCGCTACGAAAGTGAAAATTTTAATAATGGGCAAAAAAAAAAAGGAAAATTTAAAGAAAGGAGCTAAAGTAAATAAATACCTCGTTGCCGACCATTCTGCTAATGTCTCCAAAGGTTGAATCGGGATTGTTTTGCGTAACTGTCGTGCGCACTTTACTTGCATACAAAATATAGCCCGTAACTAATTTCTTACCCGGCGCTTTCTAAAATTAAACAAATATACGAGAGAAATAATAAACCAAAATTGCAATGCTACTGTCTGCTTTCGACCAGACATAATAACAATGAAATCGGCGGTTCTCGCTAACGAGTATGGGCTGAAGAGTTGCGGGCCATCAGCCGGCCATTATTTACCAATTTGGGGACTATAAAATTTCAATAATGGCCATTAAAAACCGGACGTTGCGTCTACGCGCTGTGGAGGGTTTAACCCCTATGGAAAGTAAAAAAAAACATCGAAGAAAGGAAAAAGGAAGGAGGGAAGACAGAGGGGGGGGGCGCTGGTGTCGAAAACGAGGCGAAAGGTGAAGAGAATAGGGCGCGCGCGGCGAGAATGAGGGGGCCCCAAGGAACGAGCGTCAGGTGCGCCAGATGCAGCCATCGATACCAATCGTTCGCCGATATTCGCCCCCCTTGTGTATATATATATAGGAAACGAGGAGCTGCTCCCTCTCTATTTTTCCTTCTCACCCCGTGCGTGTGTGTGTATCTTTTATCTGCATCTGCCGACACAACTCGTCCATAAAGATGCTTATCTTTTCGCTTCTGTATGCACGTATGGCCTCATGTATATGTGTGCGTGTGCTTGTGAACAGTTTCCGGTTTGACTTTTCAATTTACTCCTGTTGCCGTTGTGTACTGTATACAGTATACGATGCATATTGAAGAAGCTAGGCCATGATTAATGGGCAATTAATGTCAAACTACATTTTTCACCGATGACTCTCGATTTTCTCTCTCAGCGAAACGAATTTTTTACCTTTTGTGATCCTCGATTTTGTCTCAGTATGTACATTTTTTATTCATTTGGCATGGCTGTAAAAATAACTGTCTTGATTAAATGTGCCCCAAGTCGATGTACGATTTAAACAAGGGTTTGAGTGAACGCCATCAGGTAGCAATATACCAAATTTTGTTTTTCCTTTCGATTCAGAGGGTTCTTTTTGACTAAACTTACTTTTAAAGTTACATGTCCATTGTAGCTGGGACAAAAACGAGGGAAAAAAACATGAAAAAAAAAAAAAAATTGGCCGCTGATATCATATCATGTCCCGGTCTTGCACATATTATAATACTTTTTTTCTCAATTCATCATCACCACCACACCTAACACATTGCCATCTTTACTTCATGCGTTCCGGAAGAAATCGAGATTCGAACTGAGTGCGAGTATCGTAACCTCGCTCCGTGAGCCCGTTTCGACCGGCTGAACTACCTCAGCCGTACATAAAAGAGGAAGAAAAGAATAATAAAACCAATTCAAATCCAAACTACGCGCATTTGCGAGGAAAAAAAAACGGGCACACGAGAGGCACGAGCGAAATAAATTTTCCCGTCGAGTTGTCGACTCGGAGTCATTTTAACGAGAAACTCGCAGCCGTTGAAGCGATTTCTCGTAATTGTTCTTTTCTCGCAGAGTGGGCGGCAGAGCAAAGTCGGGGGGGGGGGGC